AGAAAAATAAATTATTTATTCCACAATTTCTCGTGGAACTCCTGACGACGGTCTGTGGAACCCCAAGGTTCTGCGGAACACAGGTTGGGAAACTCTGCTCTACAGGATGCAGGCACATTGGTGTGCTAATGCTTGCATGCAGGGAAGGGTTCACACAATGTGAAAATCCCACCCCCTCTTGAATGTTCAGACTTTCACAACTCTTGATCTGTGTATCTAGATATGTCCATGTGCAAAATTGTCCATGCATTAGTTCAGGCCATGTTGACAACAGGCCAAAAATTTCCATTCTCTTCCTAGCCTGGCCAGCTGCTCTGTCATCCTTCCCCATTCAGCATTAATAACCAACACTTTGAAAAGACATCTGAAATGGGAAGGGAAAAGGATTGAAACACTAATTCTCAGTTATTTGTGAAGAAGATCCATCTAGCCATTCAGCAAAAAGGCTGCTGTGGGCTTTCATGCAGCATATTGTGAGTCATGCTAATGTGGAGAGCAGAGACCCCAATCTTGTTGTTTTTGGCAAGGGAGGCTGACAATCTTCACTTGGAGGGAGTGAAGGGGCAGGGGAAGGATGCTCCATTTCAGCCAGTTTCCCATGCTGGTGTAGAGTGATCAGCCTTGAAGAAGTCTCATTTATCCATAGAGCTGGTGGGAATGCAAGTTTCCTGCCCTTGCATACACACACGCCTCAGGAATTAGGAGGAATGACACACTGCCAGTGAAAGGCTAGGTCATCAGTCATGCTCATTCCATTCCTGGTCTCTCTACTATGACTTCCCATGTGCCTATAGTATGAAATATGCCAACTGGAATGGGGGCAGAGATCCAGCAACTCATTTTGCATAGGTCACCAGAAAGCACCCAGAGGGTAATGACTCCCTAGTCCCTAATGAGGCTGGATTAAAACCACTGACCTTAAGGGCCACAACCTATACACTGAGCCATCCTGTCCCTCCCTTGTTTTCTGCTCTTGGTCTCACAGAAGCAGCAACATTACTTTGTTCTGAAGTAGCACATTCCAGAAAAACCCAAAGTAGTACGGAAACACTGAGGTTCACACCAGCCCAGTAAGGCATAGTGCTATTTTACAGCTGGCCCAGGGCTCTAGTGGGAGAAGAAAAAAATGAATATTTAATCTCTGTAATGATGCTGGAATTAACACTACATCCCCATGAAGATTGTGGGGAGTTACTATCTGGTAAACAGCTGCCTTTGGTTTCTGGTCTGTAACTCGTTCTGTGCCACTTTTCTGGGATTCTTAAGGAAACCAATGACTATTGCAGTCTACCCCCCAAAACAATGTTGGTGGCTAGATTTGCAGGCAGTTGCTCTAGTAGTTGACTTTTTTGCTGAATGTAGTGCATGTCCATCCCCACCTGTGCAAGTACAAAAGGGATTCTGGACATTAGGTCCAGAAAACAGGAGGAACAGTTCAGTGATTAGTGTGCTAGCTTGGTTCTTGTTCTGCCATTCGCTGAGACCTTGGGCAAGTGATTTAGCCTCACCAGATGGGTACATTGTATCTGGAACAAGTAGCTCAGCCCTGGGAGTCAGACTCATCCTAGCACACTCAAACTAGCAGTGCACGTGTTGCAGATCAGATTCTGAAGCCTACAGAGTCAGGTGGGCTTTGGAGTCCAAGCTACAACATCTACATGACATTGTAGCACAAGTTGGTCTACCCAGGTTAGGGGGCTCCTTTGAACTACAGTGTAGACACACACCCTCTCTGCTTCATTTCCCCATCTGTAAAATGGGGATAATAGTACTTTGCTGCTTCCCAAAGTGTAGTGAGTATAAACACACTGAAGATTGTGGGGCATCTCACCACCATAATGGGGGTCAGATAAGTACCTTAGATAGCTAGACAAAAGGAGATGGCTGAGATTCCACGTACACAGGTTCTTGGTCTTCATGTGTGACGATCCAGTATGTGTCTGATTGCAGAGCTGTGTCCAGTTAGGGGACTTCTGGAGAACTTTACCTGAATTCTATGTGGTTCTTAAATGTCTCTCTCACCATTTCCTTGTTTTCAGTCATCAGAGACTATCTTTGAACACACCCAACCACACACAGCTAATAGCTGAGGTCTTTATTTAAATTTTTATATACAGTAAAAGTATCACAGATAAATCTGTGCCAATCAGACGAGACATGTAAATCTCTCTCAACAATTAGCAGCTTAAGATCTATAAACTACAGTGTTACGTTCACAAGTGTCATTTCTGTACTTTTCATCCCGTGCAAGTGAGTTTTTCTGTTTTTATTTATTTTTTACACTTAAACACACAGCTAAGTCAATTGCCTACTACGATACCACCTGGCATACACAACACAGACATACATCGGGTTTAAACTCGTTAGCCACATTCAGAATTCACTTAAAACTCACAAAGCCACCCAGTCTCAACACAGATCCCTTCATAGCTTGGCTTCTTCTGTTACGATGCTGCCTTTTAATATTTTAAAAATGCATATTTTTTCAAAGCTGTCTCTTCTGGCCCAGTGCACCAATGTACAGAACTCACCATTTGATCTGATCAGATCTTAAGTGTTCACTAGATTGGAATAAACCAATGAAGTAATTGCTGTGAACATGCTCAGCATAATTAAACTAATGAAGCTGAAGGGAAGAATTTTGTAAACCTGTCTACAA